TTGCGCTATTTTGTTTACTAGAACTATCTTTCGCGGTTGATAGAATCCTCTCACGAACGATGTTTCAGAGGCTGATGCTCCTTGTGTGCTATGGCATAAGCATCGAAATATTTTCGTACTCCAGAGTATGCTACGTGCTGCACAGCTCTTTCAAGATCAGATATTAGGGCCTATGGCACTGCCTGCACGTAGTCGCCATAGTTTCCAAGGATGGGGGCGCATATGATTAAGTTCATGGAACATCGTCGGTGATTCACGTTAGGTGGCTCTAGCGAACAAAGCAATACAACATGCATGTTAAATTGAAGGCACTCAATGCAATGCATTTGTGACATGATTGTGACACGCTTAGACACCCACCTAAGCAACTAGGAGCAAGGGTTTGGTGCAATTCGTCTTGGTATGTAATCTTGAAGGGGTCATGTATCATTTAGCATATTTCGGCGTACCAAAATATTTTGATGTTTAGCAACCTGAAGTATGGCATAAACCCATTTAGCAAATTTTTGTTAACTAGGAACCTAGGAACCTTTGAGAACTGAACATATGCATGGTTAAAGAAGTTGAGAAAAAGTTTATTCAGTTGTTACAACAAAAGCAACGAGAAACTTTCGCATAAATCTTTTTCCGAGAGACACGTCTATTTATTTGAGCAACGCGATTCCGGCAACAGCATTAGATTAAACCCTGACCATTATTATTTGACTCTGTGGAGTTCGTCGCGCGTGAGTTGGTTTCATCTTCGGTTGAAGTTTGCTTCTGCCTTGTTGCTGCACTAGAAAGCGGACATTGTTGAAGACAACTTGAGGGTATTATTCTGCAGTTTCAGACATCCATATGCTCCTCAGCATAACCACATAGACTGTGGTGGAAAACGTGAAACACGGTTTAACACGGTTTACTTATACACAACACAAAAGATACTGTCTTCAGTCCGGTTACTGACTAATCCCGACGTTTTGGCTCGTGTCTCAAAAAATCGACCACAGTATATTTGCATCTTGCAGAGGTAAATCGTGTTTTGCGCTATTTTTTCAGTATGACCACCAACGTACGATCGAATTACTCTATAGAATGAGGTTGATCAATCTCTAGAGCGTCGAACATAGATCTGATGAGCCCTGAGTTCAAGCCCGGTCGGGGTTACCCGCCCTTCTCCCTTCCGAGGTTGATAAATGAATGCCACTTTGTTGACAAAAGGCAGGAAACTTCACGCTTTGCTTGCCACATGGCTAAAAACTCTGCCTTTAAGACTAAGGCACTCCTGGTTGATAGCATTGAAACTGAGACTAGCACTGCTTCATCGACTTCATGAAAAGAAGGGCATTAAAATGGCCCAATCAAGAAACTGCAGGAAGATCAGCATTGCAACTTCGACAAATTTTCTGTTTTTGTTTTTTCCCGCATTAACAGCATTGCCAAGTTCAATATCACCGTTCCTCTATCACACTAGTATTCGACGGTGGAACAGCATGATCGATTTGCGAAGCGATCAAGACAGCCGCCATGCTTAGCGCTTCATTGTGAGTTACTATGCAGATGTAGTTGTATCGTGATAAGAGATTTGTGATAGAAACGGTTCACGTATGTCCTGCTCGTGTTCACGTAAATAAACTTTAATGAAATGTAAAGAGAGTGAAGGGTGCGTTTAGAACTCGCAACTCAACGAATTTACTGGTATAGTAATGGAACAGTCGCAAATTCAGGGGTCTGAATAGCACCACCTGTCACAGACCAAAGCCGATGAAACACTGAATTTTGCCCTCTGCATACGTTGTGTAAACATGCATTCAATTCGGCCACAATGAGTTTTCGAGAAATTGATGTTGTTTAGCACGATTACCGAATGACATGGACAACAAGTCATATACGTTGCGATGAAATCACTTACCTAAATGGAAGCAATTTAAATGTTCGCCGTGGTGCAACACGGTTTTGCAAAAATTCTAGCCATACAAGAGACTGTTATTTGGCTAAGCCCATTTGTTCGTTGAAACCACTCCTGCTCTCGCTCATTCGTCAAAACAACAGAGGGTGATGCAAGGTGCTGTGATTTTCCATGATCAGACCAATTTCGTGCGACCGACACCATCCTTGGCAATGCTATAAGGTCAAAATCTGACTTCATTTGCTTTCAAAAAAATAATGGTCGAAACGATTGACATCAATTTGATAATGAACGCAGAATGCTCGGTCGATTGTACGTTCGTCATTAAATTCCTTAGGAGAAGTGACTTACTTGCTCAGATGCAGAAGCTGAACATGATCCCAGAGTTGTAAGTTTAGAGCCTAGTTCAGCCGTGAAATTTCTACGTATCACGATCAGCAAGCTTAGCCAGAATGGAAATGCAAATACCGGCGACAAATGTGATCGAATCTGGTGTATCTAGTTATTCTTGGCGATTTCTAAACTTGTCGGCACGGATCTGGTTAATAAATCTCTCCGTGAAAGCCTGAATAAATTTGTTCTCAGCTTTCTTCAGAAAGATTTCCGTTGTTTCAGACAAATATTCTAGCTCAATTATTCTTGTTTGATTGGGGGGGGCAATAATACCATGGTCTATCTATGTGGTTTAGACAGTTCTTAACTAAAAATTCCATCCTCAGCACTTTGTTCTTGTGTTGGAGTTTCGGTGACTGGGCCCCCGAAAGTGAATGAATAAGCCAGTGATATCATGCCTTTGCTGATTGTTCCAGCAGATCAGGTGCTTCGTCGTTTCTGCACCATGGTAGTGTCTTCGCAAAACTGAGTCGCAGGGAGCCTTTCCTTGTCCCTCGAATGTAAGCGTATCTTTAGATGGCAGTAAAGCATCTTTGTTGGAAGGCGTTCTTGCGCAAGTTATCGCCTTTCCATATGGGTATTGTTTCTGCACTGTAAAAGAAAATCAACACAACCATCGATGTGAAGATCTTGACTTTGTTCGCCAGGTTGACACTGTCTTGACGCCAAAGATGTTCAAAGCATACAAATGCCAGCTGCCGCAACAGTAATTTTCATATTCAGCTCGGCGTCATAGTACTGTAGTTTGTAATAATGGAACCAATGCGTTTTGAGTGATTTGTTTCAGCCAACCGGTTCCCATATGAATGAAATATGCGCCCAAATGTGCTGTTTGCCCTTCTGGTCACTTCAGTTTTCACTCTGTCGAGTTAAAG